TCTCTAGTGAGCATAGATGCAAAAGTCCTAAACAAAATGTTAGCAAACCAGATCCAGCAATACATTAAAAAAGAGCATACACCATGATCAAGTGTGATTTATGGTGGGATACAAAGTTGGTACACTATCTGAAAATCAGTAAACATGATATACCACATAAACAAAATGAAGGATAAAAACCACATGATCATATCAATAGATGCAGAAAAAGCATTTGATAAAATCAACACTCATTTATGATAAAAACTCTCAGAAAAGGGGAAATAGAGGGAACATACCTCAATGTAATAAAGGCCATATATGCCAAACCCACAGCCAACATTATATTCAATGGGCAAAAACTACAAGTGTTTCTCTGAGGATCGGGAATACGACAGGGATGTCCGTTTTCACCACTCTTATTCAACATACTACTGAAAGTTCTACCACAACAACCAGATGAGAAGAAGATATAAAAGGCTTCCAAAAAGGAAAGGAAGAAGCAAAACTGTCATTATGTGCAGATAACATGATATTGTATATAGAGAATCCTAATGATTCCACCAAAAAACTACCAGAACTGATCAATGGATTCAGTAAAGTAGCAGGATACAAAATAAATATCCAGAAATCAGTGCATTTTTATACCAGAAAGGGAAACTAAGAAAAAAAAACCCATTCACAATTGCTTTAAAAAGAATACATAGGAATAAATTTAGCCAAGAATGTAAAAGACCTTTCTTCAGAAAATTATAAGACACTGAAGAAAATAATGGAAAAAGATACAAATAAGTGGAAGCATATACTGTGTTCATGGATAGGAAGAATTAACATAATTAAAATGTCCATACGACCCAAAGCAATCTATACATTCAATATAATTCCCATCAAGAAACCAGTGGCACCGAAACCAGTTTGGCTCAGTGGATAGAGCGTCGGCCTTTGGACTGAAGGGTCTCAGGTTCGATTCCGGTCAAGGGCATGTACCTGGGTTGCGGACACATCCCCAGTGGGAGATGTGCAGGAGGCAGCTGGTCGATGTTTCTCTCTCATCTTCGATGTTTCTAACTCTCTATCTCTCTCCCTTCCTCTCTGTAAAAAATCAATAAAATATATTTTAAAAAAAAAGAAACCAGTGGCATACTTCTCAGAACTAGAACAAATATTCCAAAAATTTATATGTAACCACAAAAGACCCCAAACAGCCACAGCTATCTTGAGAAAGAAGAACAAAGTGGGAGGAATCATGCTACCTGATATCAAACTATACTACTAGGCCAGAGCAATCAAAACAGCCTGGTACTAGCATAAAAATGACATATAGAGAGCCCAGAAATAAACCCACGCCTTTACAGTGAATTACTATTTGACGAAGAAGGGGAAAACATACAATGGGGTAAAGATAATCTATTTAATAAATGGTTCTGGGACAGATACATGCAAAACAATGAAACTACACCACCTTCTTATACCATACACAAGAATAAACTCAAAATGGATTAAAGACTTAAAAGTTAGACTCGAAACCATAAAAATCCTAGAAGAAAAGATAGGCAGTAAAATTTCAAACATTTCTCATAGCAATGTTTTTTTCTGACATATATCTTCGGGCAAGGAAAACAAAAGTAAAAATACACAAGTGGGAAATAAAAGAAAAAATAACCAAGTTTTTGCACAGCAAAGGAAGCCATCAACAAAATGAAAAGACAACCCACTGAATGGGAGAATATATTCATCAATGATACATCTGATAAGGGGCTAATATCCAAAATTTATAAAGAACTTATAAAACTCAACATCAAAAACAAAAAAAAAACACAATACAATTGAAAAATGGGCAAAGGACCTGAAATGACACTTCTCCAAAGAGGACATACAGATGTCTATACGAAAAGATGCTAAACGTCACTAAGCATCAGAGAAATGCAAATTAAAATCACAATGAGATATCACCTCACACCTGTCAGAATGGCTATCATCAATAAATCCACAAACAAGTAGTGGTGGAGAGGATGTGGAGAAAAGGGAACCCTCCTTCACTGTTGGTGGGAATGCTGACTGGTGCAGCCACTGCGGAGAACAGTATGGAGTTAAAAATGGAACTGCCGTATGATCCAGTGATTCCACTTCTGGGAATATATCCGAAGAAACCTGAAACACTAATTCAAAAGAATATGTGCACCCCTGTGTTCATTGTAATGTTATTTACAATAGCCAAGATTTGGAAACAGCCCAAGTGCCCATCAGTACCTGAGTGGATAAAAAAGCTGTGGTACATTTACACAATGGATTACTACTTGGATGTAAAAAGACGGAAATCTTACCCTTTGCAACAGCATGGATGGGCTGGAGAACATTATGCTAAGTGAAATAAGCCAGTCAGAGAAAGACAAGTACATGTGACTTCACTCATGTGGAATCTAATGAACAAGTAAACTAACAAACAAAATAGAAACAGACTCATAGATAGAGAACAGACTGACAGCTGTCAGAGTGGAGGGAGCTGGGAGGCTGGGTGAAAAAGGTGAAGGGATTAAGCAAAACAAAACAAATCAAAACCTCATGGACACAGGTAATAGTATGGTGCTTACCAGGGGGAAAGGGGTGTGGAGGAAGGTAGAAGAGAGGATGGGGGGATAAATGGTGATGGAAGGAGACTTAGCTTAGGGTGGTGAACACAATACAATATACAGATGACGTATTACAGAATTGTACACCTGAAACTTATATAAGTTATTAACCAATGTCACCCCCATAAATTCAATAAAAAAGTGAAAACGAAAACACTAAATCAAAGAGATATATGACTCCATGTTCATTGCATCATTTATAATAGCCAAGATATGGGAATAATCTGTGTCCATTGATGGATAAATCAATAAAGAAAATGTCACACACACACGAGAGCATATGCATACCCACACACACACACAAGAGCATATGCATACACACACACACACGAGAACATATGCATATGCATACACACACACACACACACACACACACACACTGGAATATTATTCAGCCATAAAAAAAGAATTACATCTTGCCATGCAACAAGATAGATGGACCTTGAAGGTATTATGCTGAGTGAAATAAATCAGATAAAGACAAATACTGTATGATCTTACTTATATGTAGAACCTTAAAAAAAAACAAAAACAAACCACACCACCAATGCTGATTAGATACAGAAAACAGATTGGTGGTTGCCAGAGGTCAGGGGTTGGGAGGTGAGTGAGCAAAATGGGTGAAGAGGGTCAAAGGTACAAAGTTCTATTTATAAAATAAATAAGTCACAGGAATGTAACATACAGCATGGCGACTATAGCTAATATTACTGCAGTGGATATTTGAAAGTTGCTAAGAGAGTAATCTTAAAAGAAATGTGTAACTATGTATAGTGACAGATATTAACTAGACTTATTGTGATGGTCATCTTACAATATATACACATATTGAATCATTATGCTAACCTACTATACACCTAAAATTACTATGTCAATTGTACCTCAATTTTGAAAAAATAGTCTATGATATATTAATAAATTTAAAAAACTAGGCTAGTATATGTTCAGGTACATTATGATTGAAACTATAAAAATCAGCTAGGATGGACTATACAAAAATTGTAAATTAACTGTGTTGTAGCAAAAATATGGATAGTTTTTTCACCTGCTTCTATCAATTGTAATAATGTGTTTCATTTTTAAAAACTGTAAAGAGAAATCTCACTAAACATTTCAGCCTCATGCTGCAGCTCCGAGTACAAAAACGACCCAAAACGAGGTCCCCCTCCCTGGAGCCAGCGTCACGGCGCAGGCCCCTCGGGAGTGTACTGGGTAGGAAGGGCCAGTGCTCCTCCAGGGCCGTCCCGGTACGGTTCAGAGAAATGAGCTTACGGCTCTGCTCCCCCTGCCTCCTCCTGAACTCCTATGCCCTTCCCCATGCTTAGCACCACGGACATTTTCATTTTCACTCCAGAGGATAAGATCATTATCTTGGGGGATGGGTAAGGCAAAGGACAAAGGCTGGCATTACGGCATGGTTTATCAAAAGAGAAATCCTCTACTGAAGACAGACAATTAGAAAAGGTCAGAACACGAAAACTGGGATATTATCTGGTCCGACACCACTCCCGCTTTAAAAAGAAAACGTGGGTGTTATCTGACCACCCCTGAGGGTCGGGGTGAGGAGGTGGGTTTTCCACGGTCTCCAAGTTGCAGAGCTGGGACTATGAGCCTAGACCCTGGCCTGTCTTCTACTAACAGGTCAGCTGCTCCCAGGAGAGGACACTCCAGGGAACTGGAGAGGAGCCTCTAGTGCCACCAAAAGTAATGAGTAAAAGGATAAATTTGTGATAAGATTTCAACTCGAAAACAGTTCTCTGTGTCCACAAAAGCATGATAGTCACTAGAGAGCGAAAGCAGGTGTGGCAAGAGGCACAAGATAAAATCAGAAGTGCATGCTTTTCTTGGGTTCCTTGGACACTTGCCTGCCTTCTTCCCTTCCTCATTTTTGGTAACAGATTTATTCAGATATAATGCACATACCATACAATTCACCCACTTAAAGTACACAACTCACTGCGTGTATTAGAGTTGTACACCCATCACCACAATCAATCTTAGAACATGTTCATCACCCCAAAAAGGAATGCCAGACCCTTTAACCACCATGCCCACCCCAGTTCTCCATCCTGGGCAACCACTGGTCTACTTTCTGTCTTTACAGGTTTACCTATTGTCAGTATGCCATATAAATGTCAGTATTTTATATTTCATATAAAAAAGACTACATATAAATGTAGTCTTCTGCAACTGGCTTCTTGCACTTAGCCGAGTGCACCCAAGGCCCGTCCACGTGTGCAGCGTGTGTCATTCCTCCCTTCACCTGGACTGCAGTCACCAAGCTCTTCTGTCCTCGCGATGCACACAGATTAGCACAAGCGGATGTGAGCAGGGACATGACGGGGGAAAGGGAATGGTAAGGATTTCCAGGCTTTCAAGGTTTATACTTACTTTGATTTTGTAAAGTTGTCTCAGCCTTCTCAATAGTTAACAACAGATTTTCGGAGAGGTCTTCTCTTTTGCTCACTATTGGAAAACCATTCCAGATGTACATCATTTCCTAACAGGGAGGAATGAAAACCCATTTGCAATTATGTGACGGTTATTCAATGTCCTTTACAACAACAAAACTACGAATGTGTGTTTGCCTTGGTTGCTACGGCTCTCATATGGAGTTGAGTGATATCATTTCCCCTTTCTCATTTTATTATGTGACTTTGTCTTTTATACTGTGAAGTAATTCAATAGATATAGTATAGTGTGTTTTTACTGAAAAAAAATAACTTATTCATTCATTGAACAAATATTTATTAAGCGCTTATTGGTATTCAGACATTTTGGAAGATAATCAATTATAGATACCGAAGTAAATATTTTATTTTTTGAAAATGTTTTTATTGATTTCAGTGAGAGGGAGAGAGGAATAGAAACATCAATGATCAAAATCATTGATCAGCTGCCTCCTGTACATCCCTTACTGGGGATCGAGCCCAAAACCCGGGCATATGCCCTGAGAATAGAACCGTGATCTCCTGGTTCCTGGGTCTATGCTCAAGCACTGAACCACACCAGCCAGGCAAATAAATATAGCATTTTAAACTGATACAATGGACAATTCTATTTATATAAATCTTTGCTGTTACATTTAAATAAAGGGAGAACATTATAAAATATCTGCCAATTATTTACATAAATTGTTTCCAAGGATGTCACTGGAAATGAACATAGGAAATATTTCACTGGGCTCAGGTTCTTTTATACCATTAAAACATGTGACAGTTCAGTAATGCAATCCAATATGCAGAAAATGTATTCATTTGAAGGCCATATGGCTGAATGACAGCCCTTGAAAATGTAAATGAATGATTTTTTTATTGCAAATTACATTTAATAAGGTAACAGATGAGAATTTTTTTTTTGGACCAAAAGCAAATGTGCTTTTGCTTGAAAATATTTTTATAATATTCCTGGTAGTGCAGTTCATATTTTTAAAGGTATGAAATAAGCAGGGTAATTAGTATTTCTTAGAAATGAAACATGGTAAAGATATTACTTAAACAACCTCTTACAGGGAAACAGTGGAAATGAGGAAAATGCAGTTGAGTATAGTGGCAACAAGGTAATCTTTAATTTATGCCACTGAAAACTACTAAACTACTAAAACTGCCACACTCTACCTTTTATTTCACACCTAACAGTTTCTTGTTGCTAACAGTGTCACAACTCAATTCAATAACTAATGGGATATTTAATGATGACGATCTTTTTAAGATGTTGTTTTTAACGATGAAATATTTACAAGAAGAAAGCAAGTTACCACAATTCAAGCCAATTATACTGCCTTAGATCTAGAGAAACCAGTGCAGTGAGGTGACCTTCCTGAAGACCCTTAATGAAGTTGGATATAATTAGCTTATAGAAATCCTGGGGCAGCAAGAAGGCTATGGTGATCCAGATGATTTTCAGGAAAGTTCTGTGACGTAGGAAGAAAACGTTTCTAAGCACAAATTAGTGATAGACATGAATTAGGAAGGGAGCTAAAAGCTGTCACCGAGAATACAGCAGCAGGCTCCCACATTAGCTGGGAATGAGGGAATATTTGGTCCTCTTCCTGGTTTTCTTACCTTCATCTGTGCTCAGATATAGAGTGCTCATATTTCGTCTAGCACAGGCACAGAATAACCTGTGCTGGTGTGGTGTTCCCTGAGATTGTCTATCTGAAGTAGGAAACACACAGGTCTGGGCACTAGCTGCAGGTCGCTCCTATCACCTGGTAGGGGCTACAGTTTTCTTTCTCAAGGCAGACAGAGAGCTCCCATAATTCAATGATCAAACAATAAACAGCCCAATGGAAAACTAGTGAGGTATATGAACAATTCACAAAAGGAGAAAGAAATAAGAGTAAGTAGGCACATAAAGACATGTTCAACTGCACCAACAGAAAAACACAAATTTGAACAGTAAAACACTGTTGGTGGAATTTTAAATTGATTCAGCCTTTCTGGGAGGGCAGTTTGCCAATGTCACAATACTAAATGCATATACCCTATAACCAGGAACTCCATTTCTTGAAAGCTTTCCCAGAGAATTATATGCTCAAGGACAGAAAGAAGAATGTAGAAGAATATGAATTGTAGCATGTTTGTAATAGTAAAAATTGGGGGGGGGAGACAAAAACATGAAGAACTTTCAAAGGGGAATAATTGAATAATCTCTGGAATACAAAAAATGAAATGTTTTAAACTTCAGGAAACCCAAGCAGAGGACTGCAGAGGTGAGCGGGCAATGAACAGCTGCCTGTGCTGACTACCTATGCAAATCTAATGCCCCAACGAACCACAAGAATTTGAGATACCCGGTACTTTTTCAAGAAGTCTTCATAAAGAACATTTAAGTTGAAATTACGGTTTTTATGAAGTCTAGCCTTGGTGGTCTAACCATGAGGACTATGGCTCGGGCCATGCACTGCCCAGTATAGCAGCCACCAGCCACTCAGGCTCTGAGTCCTAGAAACGTGCTCGTCCACAGGAGATGTGCTCCCAGGGGAAAACACCCACACATCCCAAAGAATCAGAGCTCTACAGAGGGATGGGAAGCAACTCATGGCATTTCGTTGATTCCATGATCAAACAACAACTTGCTGTATATCCTGGATTAAACAAAATACTACATCTTTTCAAACATTTTCATGTTTCCTCTTCCTTTTTAACATTTACCTATTCATTTTTAATGTGGCCACTCAGAAAAGAGAAAATGACCTACGTAGCTAGCATTACAAGTTAACTCAGCTTCAATTAAGTCAGCGGTTCTCAACCTGTGGGTCGCGACCCCTTTGGAGGTGAAACGACCTTTTCACAGGGGTTGCCTAAGACCATCGGAAAACACATATATCCTATCTAATAAAAGACAAAAAGGGTAATTAACTGTACCTCCGCTACACTTCCCATTGGCTAATCAGGGAGATATGCAAATTAACTGCCAACAAAGATGGCGGCCGGCAGCCACGAAGCTGAAGCGAGCAAGGAGGCTTGTTTGCTCCAGTGATGGAAGAAGCCAAGGTTCCCCGCCTGCCACGGCCCAGCTCGGAGCTCCAGAAGCAACAATGTTTCCATTATAAAAGCTAAACAAACCCCAGATACCTGCTTTCAGCCAGCCGCGGCCTCAGAGCTGGGAGCACCAGTGACGGCAACAAAGTTTTAATTATAGAAGGTAAATAAATCCCAGAATAAAAAAAAAAAAGAAAAAAAGGAGAGGCTGGGAGCTTCAGTCGCTGGCCAGCCTGAAAACGGCCCTCAGCCCCTCACCCAGACTGGCCAGGCACCCCAGTGGGAACCCCCACCCTGAAGGGGGTGTGACCAGCTGCAAACAGCCATCAGCCCCTCATCCAGGCTGGCCAGGCACCCAAGTGGGATCCCCACCCTGATCCGGGACACCCTTCAGGGCAAACCAGCTGGCCCCCACCCGTGCACCAGGCCTCTATCCTATATAGTAAAAGGGTAATATGCAAACTGACCCTAACAGCAGAAAGACTGGGAATGACTGGTCACTATGACACACACTGACCACCAGGGGGCAGACGCTCAATGCAGGAGCTGCCCTCTGGTGGTCAGTGTGCTCCCACATGGGGGAGCTCTGCTCAGCCACAAGCCAGGCTGATGGCTGCCAGTACAGCGGTGGTGTTGGGAGGCTCTCCTGCCTCCTCAGCAGCGCTAAGGATGTCCGATTGCAGCTTAGGTCTGTTCCGTTGGCAAGTGGACATCCCCCGAGGGCTGCAGGGCTGTCAGAGGGATGTCTGATTGCCAGCTTAGGCCCAATCCCCCGGGGAGCAGGCCTAAGCCAGCAGGTGGTCATCCCCCAAGGGGTCCCAGACTGCGAGAGGGCACAGGCCGGGCTGAGGGACCCCCCCCTCCGAGTGCACAAATTTTTGTGCACCGGGCCTCTAGTAATTACATATTGTTTTTGTGATTAATCGCTATGCTTTAATTATGTTCAACTTGTAACAATAAAATTGGGGGTCACCACAATATGTGGAACTGTATTAAAGGGTCGCGGCATTAGCAAGGTTGAGAACCACTGAATTAAGTCAACTCACCCCACTCTGCCTGGATTTCCTTATCTATAAAATGGGCTACAAAGAGAATCTACCCTCACAGAGTCATCAAGAATCAAAAGATATATATTTTAAAATAGTTTTTATCATAATGGGTCGAACATACCAACTTGTCAAAAAAACATCAGCTGTAATATTCATTATTTAATTGTGAATGTTCACCTGACAGACAACACTTACAATGGTTTTCAATGGACCTAAACTTCACAACAAAAGCTGGGCGTGCTCCCTGCTGCTAGGAATAGACCATTAACTTCTAGAACACAAACAGTAAATAAAATAAAGGCAGATACCAGGGCAGGCAAGACGAGCTTCACAGGTGCAGGCAACGAGGCGGAGTAACGGCGAGACTTCCTCACTGCAAACTTCTCTGTAGGGATGGACTTCCCGGCAATTCTCTGCTTCAAGCTGTCCACCTGTCTGTGAAGAGCCCAGCCCCAGCGAAAGGTCATTAGGACACAGCCTCTATTTACATCCATGGTGTTCACGCCATGTTCTCTAGCCTAGACCAATAGCAGCATCACGTGGAAACCTGTTCCAAATGGCAATATTCAGGCTTCTCCCCAAACCTAATGAATCAGCAACTCCTAGGGCTGGCTGGCTGGAGGGTGGATACTAATGTAAACAAAGCTAAACAAATTACTTCCCAGAACAGCCTCTCGGAACCTTTGACACACTAATGAAAACTAAGGATATGTTAAACTGTGTTTCTTAAGTTTATCTGATCACAGAATACCTCTGATACACAGCAAAAGTTGACGTCTTTTGCCAACCATACCACCTTAGGAAACTGTTCAAAATGCAGTAGCAAAGTCCGAATAACAAAACAACAAAAAATGTGTTCTCAAAATTCCTGCTAAAAGGATGCCATTTTGACTCTTAGCTCAATATATTTCTAAAGAGTTCCTGTGTTAAATAAGTATATCAATTAAAGAAATATGAAGGTGAAGCATGGGAGCGCAGTAAGGAAAAAAGAAGATGTACTTGTGTGCTCCTCTATACATAGGAGGCCTTGGTTATAGAAGTAGTATATTGCTCACCTGAATAAAGCTACCACATTCTCTTTAGTTGCTTCTACTTCCTCCTCAGGAAGCATACTCAAAATCGAAGCTTTCAAGTACACATACGTTGCCTGGAAGAAGAGAAAAAAGCACCTGGTTATAGAAGATCCGCAGGAACATGGCACTTCTACCTTGCAATCAGGAACGACCTAGAGGTCTTTCAGAGATAATATTTAAGAGGTATCAAAGAAATAAAAGAAAATGACTCGCGATGCCTGTTCCAAATAAGATTAACACTTTTCACTTACTGCTGACCATTTTCCTACTATACAACTATAGCGCGCTTGGGTGAGAAAATGGACAAAATGAATGAGAGATCATTATCTCATTCCTCCCAACTTCTCACAAATGCATCAGAATTAATGTTATTATAAAAAGCTTTGTCATCGGGGCATTGGAAAGTCTACAAAAAATTATCAAAACTATTGGTATTTAATAATTTTTAAATATAAGTGCAGTTCCTCTCCAGAGGAAAAGCCTCTGTAGAAAAGGACTCTTTGGATGGCTTTTAAAGTACGCAGTGCTGAGGACCAATAGTGGTCATAACCACTAGGCACTAAATGCACATTTCCTCCTTTGACAGGTCTGTGGAGAAAACCATGTCGACATCATACTACTGAACAAATAGCCCTAATAAGTCCTGTATACTTATTAGTAAATAGATGACATTAATAAAAGCATTGCTCTTTACCTTGGACCATTTACTCTCTTTGCAAAGCAGGTCTGAATAGTAATACGCCTTCATCCAGTTTTGCTGGAATATATTAATCCACATCAGCTCCCAATAACAGAGATGGTGAAACTGTTTCCATTCTTCTTGAACTGAAATGCATTTTCGAAATATCTCTTGTGCCTATAAGTCAATTGCATAAAGCTGATCATCCAGATATTACACAAGGAGATAATAACCTAATGGAAAAATACATAAAACACTTTGTACAGAAATAACAACATCATCCCTCGCTACACCACTCAAAATGATGTTATGTTCCTTTCCTCACATGTAAAGATACAGTTCTTTTCTGCCTCTTTGTTTAAGTTTCTGAGGCAGCTGTGAAACTTTATAATGTGGGAATGGGGAAGTTATAAAATGTAGTAATATATAAAATGTAGAGGACCATTAAGAAAAGACTGACAATAAAAGTCAGAACTTTCAGAGTGGAATATACCTTAAGCAAAGTTAAAGGCAATGGACAGACTGGGAGAAGATATCATCAGCCACATAAGTGGCAAAGGATTAATCTTATACAACCAGTTTATCAAATCTTCTAGAAAAAGACAAAAAACTCAATGGGAAAATTGTCAAAGATGAATAGGCAAATTAGAAAGATACATGAGTAACAAATATACATATGAAGAAACGAAAAAATATAAATTTAAAAATTAGTCTGGCTTGCCCTAGCTGGTTTAGCTCAATGGATGGAGCGTCAACCTATGGACTGAAGGGTCCCAAGTTTGATTCTGGTCAAGGGCACATGCCTGGGTTGTGGGCTCGAGCCCCAGTGGGGGGCGTGCAGGAGGCAGCTGATCAATGATTCTCTCTCATCATTGATGTTTCTCTCTCTCTCTCCCTCTCCCTACCTCTCTGAAATCAATTAAAAAATATTAAAAAAAAAAAAAACAACTAAGAGCTATTCTTAAAAAAAAATTAGTCTGGCTGGCAGGGCTCAGTGGTTGAGCATCAATCTATGAACCAGGAGGTCATGGTTCAATTCCTGGTCAAGGCACAATCCTCAGGAGGGGGCATGCAGGAGGTAGCCGATCAATGATTTTCTCTCATCATTGATGTTTTTATCTCTCTCTCCCTCTCCCTTCCTCTCTGAAACCAATAAAAATAAAAACATAAAATTAGGTTATCATTGGTTAGCCAAGAAAGAGGCAAAAATAAAACAGATCATGTCCAGACTGGGTAATGAGCACTGGAAACAAGTATCCTATCGTTACAAGAGTTTCAATGGAATAGCCTTAAGTCAGGAGGGCAATCTGGCAGCATTTATCAAAATGCAAACATCTTTGACCTGGAAATCCTAATGATCAGCATGTCACACATATGCACAGAAATATACATATAATCATGTTTACAACAGCATTGCTTATAGTAGCCAGATGTCTATCAATAGTGGACTGCTGTAATAGGTATAGTACATCCATCCTAAGAAATGAAACTCAGCCATCAAAAAGAATGAATGAGAGTTACATACACTGACCTGGACAGAAATCCAGTATGTATTGTAAGTAGAAAATAAAACAAATCAAAGAAAAATACATATGTTTGACCCCATTTGTATAGAAGACAATTGTTTGTGAGAATCCTATATAATAAAAGCCTAATATGCAAATCGACCAAATGGCAGAACGACCAGTCGCTATGATGCGCACTAACCACCAGGAGCTGTCCCCAG